AGTTTTATTTTTTTTAGAAAAAGAAATAATAATTAAAAGCTTCTGTAAATAGGAAGATCGAATAGCTTGGGGGGAAGGGAACAAGGAGGTTTTGATCCACGAAATCTGACCGTTGGATCATGTAAAACTCTTCCTTTTTTTTTTCCTTTTGTAACGAAAATCTTTGGGAGTTTGGTCAAAAAGGTTTTCGAAATCTTTTTCTTTTCTCGTTTTTTGTTTGTTTGTTTTTTTTCTTTTTGTTGTGTTAGGGTAAGTGTATCAATTTCCGAATGTGTATTGGTGAATTAAATTAGCTGCCTGTTCAATTTGGTTTGAAATTTAGAATTTGGAACTTTTATATACTTTATTCCCTATTAAAATATTAGCAAAAAGATTTAGTTGGGTTTAGTTTACTAACCAAAAGGCTTCCTTTGGTTTTGTTTAATTAAAATATTATAAAATTGGTCAAATGTATTACACTTTTATGGGCTGATATTGGACGACGAATATTTAAACGTTTAAATCATTGAAAGGCTGTTTGTTTCATTTGTACGGAATTCAAGTGTGCTTGTTTTGTTCTATAATTCATATGCTTTTTCTTTCTTTAATACTTTCACTTTGTCGAGAATTATGTGGTCTTAAACCCTAAACTATTTTTCTCCCAATGGTAATAACAATATAGTGGAGTAATGGAGAGATATAATATTAAAGATTCATGTATGCAAATATATGTAGATTATTCCATGAAGTCTCCATCTGTCAATGAACATCCGTACCCAATGTTCATCTGCCTCGTTCATAGGAAGTTCTTTGAACAACATTACAAAAAGAGAATCGTCTAATATCTATATGCGGATATACCATTGTGATTCTCATCAACATCGTGTCATTTCTACGTAACCTAACATTCATACCATCTCCCAAAACAAAAAGGCAAAAGAAAAACAATTTATAATTATTGAGAATGGAATTGTCCCCCGTTAATTATGGAAAAATTATAAATAAAACTCAACATCTAAAATAAATGACAACACCTTTTGCAAAATAATAATAATAATAATAATAATAATAATAATAAAATAAATGACACCACCTCCTATTGTAAGTTTTAAATGACCACAAATTTCTGCAGTAAAGCTATGTCATTTCAATTGTTTAAAAGAAAGCTCAGGATAGAAAACTCTACCGACCTTTTTCTTTAGCAAAAATTTCCATAATTTGTGTTTGATGTTTTATATATTACGATCATTCAGTGAACTTAATCCTACCCATAACTTTTTACCTTTTGATAATTATTTTACTTTTAACTTTTCTATTTCTAAAAGATAAACTTGTAAACACTAGTTTTATTAAGCACTCCTTTCATGTTTTCAAGTCAATTTTTTTTAGTAAAAAATTTAGCTCAAAATTCAAAATATATTTTCGAGAGAAGCTATAAACATATTTTCTTTTTATATTAAAAATGAAACTATTATTCTTTTTTAGTATAATATGTGTGGTGGGAAACATGTGTCTTAATCCATTGACCTATATTAAATTGACAAAAATGAAACAATCATTCCACSTAGCTTAGAGATAAAATTTTGAAAGGCTAGTTTTTGTAGGTTTTATCTATCACTCTTAGAAACATCTTTAGAGATAAATTAGAAAACAGACATATTTTKTAAGGTCAAGAATATTCATCAAACAGATTTTAAGTGGATTTTTTTTTAAATATTGCTAATATTTAAATTTATTTTGAAAATAATACTAATTCGAAACTTATTCAAAAAATAATGTTTCGTAAATATGTCCACCACTAAACCATCTCTTGAAGAGACGACCAAGTATATTTCACGAGACGACTTAGATATGTGACATTGTATGTCGTCTTTTGAAGGCACAACACGCAGCCACCTTACTTTAGGGGGAAAAAAAATACTTGGAAGAGACGATATATACCAAATTTAAATGAGTCCACTATTTGAGTAGAGTCGCTATACGCTTATTCTCTAATCTAGAAGACGATTTGGGTTCAAGCCTCCATAAAATCATATTTTTTCTTTTTTCTTTTTTTATCCAAGAGAATACTATTACATCACAATACTCAATTATTTATTTTTCATTCCCAAAATCAAGTTACTAACTATTACTTTACAACAAATATATACCTCATATATTTCATAGTTTTGTTAGTTTTTATCTCATATAAATTATTTGAATACTAATATAACATTACCACATAATATAACATATAGGTTATACACTATATATGTTTAAATGTTGGACTGAAAATTGAAATTGGCCCTCAAAACTGAATCATATCCCCCAAACCTAATGCTAAAGTCTAAAAATAATACCCTCAAATCGAAATTCGAAAAATCATACTCTGCCTATACAAGAATGCTAAACTCAAAAAAGTATACGCCTTAAACTGAATGTCACTCTACAGATTATACCTCCTTCAAAACCTTCATGCAACCAAAGAAGGTGAGTCACGTTGAAAAGTGTTTGCATYGCTTAGGAGGTGATTCATGCCAGTAACTATTCGCATCRCTTAAAGGAGGTGATTCACGCTAGAAAATCTCGTGTTGGAAAGTGCAGGAGGTGAGTCGCACTGAAAAATGTCGTAAATTGGTCGCGTGGCTGAGAGGAGGTGAATTGTACCGAAAAGTTGCAAAAATCTTTGGCGGTGAACCGCTGAATTGCAAGAGGAAACAAGGAAATTGATGAATCTAGGTTTTCTATCTTTTAGGGTGAAAAGGAGATTGATGAAAGAAAGAAAAAAAAGGAAAACGCCGATACTGAAAGAGAGAACCAATTGTACGACAACTATTTGCAAGCAAATTCAATGTAAAATACTTCTTCTCTTATTTCAATTTTTATTTTTTAACTTGTCTCATGGTGGCATGTAAGAAAGGACCTATTGATAATTAGACAACTATTTTAGACATTAAACATGAAGCCCTTGAATCAAAAATGAAAAATCTCTATATTTTAGACACTTATAATATTGATTTATTAAAGACCATATGCTTTGTTATCCCTAAATAAAATCCTCTCTTTGATAACCTTTGTTTCCTTGGATTTCTATTTTGAGGCCCACTTTGCACATGATATGAGCTTCAAAGAGACTATGATTGAGACAGACGAACACACCTTTCCCTTGTTGCCTTCTTAAAGTTSCTTCTTACAAATTTGTTCCCATCTCTTGCTTCAATCTCAACATAAAGTGGGCCCTTTTTCATGGAGAAGATGAGATGTCATGTCACCAACCAATTAATCAATTGGTAATCTAAGTAGGATAATACATTTTTCTTAGTTTGTTTATTTTAAGTTAATCCTACCTAATTTTTCCATCTTGTCTTTTGTTACTTGAAAAGATGAGGGAGAATAGCAAGATAATAAAGCTAACGTGCAAATTTCGACAAATAAACTGAACTAATACAAAATATAAACCTGAAGTCTAACTACCCTACATTAAACCAAGCCAATTTATTGTCTCACTTTGCACGTACCCAAAAATACTTCAAATAAAAACATGGCAAACGCCAGCAGAGACATGAGAGACCCTTATGTCGCATACATGGACCCAAGCACGATGCACCGCACATGTGTATATGTTCACGACGTGSCATTGGAAAGTGTAGGGCAGGCCGGGGGCTAGGACACTATTCTAAATTATAGAGAATTACTACAAATAATAATAACAACTTGTACATTTAAGAGTTCAATCAATAAAATGATTATTTTTTTATCATCACTGAGGTCCACCTATCGAAAATAAATTGATTACATAAAAGCTAGAATTTTGCTAGCCCACTACTAATGGTTCAACTAATCACTTCTAATAAATTTAGAACTTTCCTCCAAAATTCAAATAAAAGAAGTCTTCCAACCTATGGAGCAATCCAATATAGGATTTTGAAAACTCTCTGAGCTCTCAATTTAACAATCTACAGATTCTGTAAGGGATCCATAAGAGCTATACTAGCGATTATCATTGATTTCTTAAAAAATGTAAACTAATGATCTATGAAGAGAGACAAATAAGTGTTTAAAAGAGAGAGAGAGGAACTTTCCTCATAGTTTGTTAGAACCGTAGTCTCTCTCCAAGTCGTGCAGGAATCTTGAAATACAAACCCAAAGATGGTCAGGGATTTTTCTACCGAGATGCATGATAATGCTTGAAATGACGTCCAGAGAGAACCTATGAACCTCAGGCTTTGATGCCATGCGAATCAGCATAGCGGTCCACACCTGTGGTGCTAATTTGATTGCTTCACGGAGACACTGGAACCCGTGAACAACTCTTCCCAGCATAGCCTGATCCTGTAAATACAATACACCAAATAGTTCATGGCCCTAACAACTTYGTTCCGATTTTATCGGATATCTCCCAAGGGACTTCAAGAATGGTTGATTTATGAAGGCTATTATTTGAAGCAAATCTGTACAGATGAGTTGAACAAACCTCGGATTCTGGGGTGGATCTTGTCTGGCGCTTCTCATCCAATGAGCATCCAAAAACTTCATCCTGCAGAGCAATATCAATTGCTCCAATGATGTCACGGATAAGGAAAACACGTACTCTTGAACCTTTCTTAGAGAGAACGAATAGCAAAAGATCCTCAGTTGCTGCGACAACAGCTTGCATGTCAAATGATTTCCATCCAAGGGGGTTTGAAGAATTATCCTTGGAGGATTCCTCGCTTGGCTCAGAAGCCTGTTCAGAAATGGCTGCAACCTGTAACAATAATTTTCTTTGTTAAGATGGGAAAAAAGAAAGCAGCCGGATCTCCTAAAACGTAGTTTATATTTCGGAAATAAAATCCAAAAGTACATAATATGCAAACAGAACATAAAAAGTAAAATAAATACAACCAAAAATTAAAACATGTGCCTATGCGTTGTCACTATTACATTCATTCACCATGACAAAGTACTTGCTACATGATGGAGAAATAAGAGGAAAACCCTACTAAGCACTCAAGCCGATTCCACCTAATGGATCCATCATTACGGATGAGGAGTTCCCGCAAAATTCTTCTCATATCAGGGCTTGGATCTTCCAAGAGCCTTCCAATGACAAAAGGATATGCACTTTCCACGACCTTGAATTCAGGATCAAGGACTTTTGCAGTGCCTTCAAGTGATCCTAGTGCTCTTATGACCAAGGCATAGTCCGGAGGAAGGGAAAAATTAAATTCATACATAACATTGTACAGCTGGTTCATTATTCCCTGAAATCAATGTCAATTTGGACGCATAAGAGCTTTCAACTTTCAACATGGTGGAAAATGGATAAGGAGATTTTTTTATTTTTTATTTTTTTGG